GCCTCAGTGTATGTGGCTAGCACCCTAACCACTGAGCTATGGGTGCTGAGCCCAATTTTAAATTTTACAGATTATCGAAAAAGGTGTTTATGAATGGAGAGAATTGGAATCAAGGCAGTGGAATGCCCAGTGCTTGCCATAGCTGAGGGTAATAATGATGGTGGTGTCCATAAGTAGCAGCAGCAGCAGTAGTTGTTAATGTTTACTGACGCCTGGGCTGGTGCTGTCTAATGCTTTGTGTGAGAGATCTTATGGAACCTCACACTACCCTATGAAGCATGTATAATTATCAATCCCACCATAAAGATAAGGAAAACTAAGGTAGTGAGAGATTAAATCACTTGGCCAAAGTTATCAAGTTAATAAGTAGCAAATCTGGATTCTAATTTAGGAAGCCTCATTCCAGATTCTATGCTTTCACCATCTATTATACATAAAATGAGATCCTGAGCACTCCTAGAGATTAAGGAAAAGGTATAGTTCCCTTCATGTATTTACTACTGAGAGGGTAACTTTGCACTTTTAGTAAAATAAATGCCACTGGAGCTTATTAAAACTTTTCTCCAATTTTTGGTACTCTCTGAATTGTGGAGAATAAGGAGATAATCAAAGAGAGGGCTAAAATTTTTAGAATTTTAGTGGTTAAAGTTTTTCTGACATAATTTTTTACATTGTTCATTTAAAAAAGCAAGAAATAAAAGACAAATTTAGGAAAGGGGAATTCTATCCAGACCAAGAGAAACAATTATTAGAATGGTTTTTGACATCTTTTAGCCTGGATGATTGAGGCTTCATGTGAATTTGAGGATACTACAGCAAGTATGGCTTTCTGCTGTGTTGAACTTCCTTATATGCAAAAGCACAGTCCAAAAAGTGTTCACAGTTAATAGATGTTTAATAATGAAATATGAATATATTAAGCAAACTAGTTATGGTGCCAAAATAATGAGATATAAGATGCAGAGAAATAACAGGGTTGTCTCAATGATATTCCTGTCTGGACTCTATTCCTCTACTCAAGGGCTCTACCTCTGTCTTTCAGAACGCCCATGACCCACACTGATGTCTTGATATAGTCCTCACTACTGATACACCTTTTAGTTCAGTGAAGGCTTTCCCTGTAGCTTGCTGGGAAATCGGTTCTTATTGAAATTGGTCTACAGAGCTCTGGATACTCCTGCCAACCAACTGCCAGTCTCGCAATGGTTGTTGGCCAACCCACCTGTATACACTTCTTACTTCAAGTAAAGACACCTGCTTAGTGAGTTCAGACATGCTCTATGACTGAGCAAAAGAGAATAAGGTCCCAGGGATCCGAACTGTTACTTGTCACTCTTTCCTGTCTTTCAGCTTAAAGATCAATACTTTCCCCAATAACTTTCTTTTTATGATATAAGGAGTAATATGTAATGATTAAAAAATACACTGAGGTTTTATGTTGCCTCCAATACTTTTCTATCCTTATAATATTATATTCTAAAATATTTTTAATGTTTCCCTTGCAAAAAATTGTACTTCATGTAAATAATTAATTTCAAGCTGAAACTATATTATTTCAATAAAAAAGTCACTAGTATTACCACAGTAAAGGCTATTTTTATTGCATTCAACAACTTAAAACCCTAAGTTTGTATTTGTTTGTATTACTCACCAGGATGCCCAAGAGTATTTAATTCATCTAAAATGAAATCAGAGAAAATAGATCAAGTACACTGTCAATTTAGCACAAATGGTAAGACTAATCATAGTAGTTTTTGAATCATTAAATCATGTGATAATGTTTTATCAGTTTAGAACTTTTTAAACTAAAAGAAGCCATGCAATTACTGAATAAGAAAGAGAATTTTCATGCATATCAGTTAGAATTTCTAAGCTATTACTATTATCATTAAATGACAAAAAATTAAGGTCCTTCATAACCTATTCAAAGTTTTAGATATTCTGGCCAGTTATGGGACAAAAATAGTCAAGAGGCAGGTATGTCTGTATCCTTAACTATAAACTTCTGAAACTAATTAACAATTTCCAATGATCTTTTTTTTACAAATAAATTTTAGAACTTTTTTTTTTTAGAGACAGTCTTTGTTGCCCTTGATAGAGTGCTGAGGTGTCAAAGCTCACAGCAACCTCTAACTCCTGGGCTTAGGCGATTCTTTTGCCTCAGCCTCCTGAGTAGCTGGGACTACGGGCTCTCAGCACAACGCCCAGCTATTTTTCATTGAAGTTTGGCTGGGGCCAGGTTTGAAACTGCCACCGTCAGTATATGGTGCTGACGCCCTACTCACTGAGCCACAGGTGCCACCCTAATTTTAGAACATTTTACGATTTACAGAGCTTCTATGAAGATAGTGCAGAGCGAGTTCCTGTATACCCAGACCTAGTTTCCCTATGATGTGTCAGTGAGCATGGTGTGTTTGTCCCATCTTATGTTGGCATGGTATATTTTTCACAACTAACAAACCAGTGATGTTCTTTTTTTGGTTCCAGGACTCTATTCAGGATATCACATTAACTTTGCTTGTGTGTCCTTAGGCTCTGCTTGATTGTTAAAAGTTGCTTAGAAGTTTCTGTAAAGAGACTGACAGGTTTGAGGTATTTTGTATAATATCCCTAGGATTTGTCTGATGTCTTTCTCTTGACTAGACTCATGGTTTCTGAAAGTGTAATGTGTTTTGGGAGATATAGTGGTTTCAGAATTAACCTGTGTCCCCCCCCATGGAGCATCTTTTAGCCTTTAGATAAACAAGTATCTGTGACATGATAGCCATCTATTTTTTTTAAGAGATAGGGGTCTTGCTATGTTGTTCAAGTTGGTCATGAACTTCTGTGCAAGTAACCCTCTCACCTCCACCTCCTGAGCTGCAGGGACTAAAGGTGTCAACCACCAGATTTAGCTTCTTTTTTCTTCCTTCACAAATTTAATGAAGATAAAATATTAACATTAAACAATAAATTGTAAATGTTATACTAGTCATAGATGTTACGCAGGAAATTTATTCTTATCTGAGTGATCAAATCTATTAAAAAGATTGTTTCTAGTCCTTAAACATTGTTACTGTTAAATTTTAAAGCCTTTTGGATTTTGTGAAGGCAAAAGGTAGAAACCTAGTAAACAAATGTATATGTAAAAATAAAGAAATAAAAAACTCAAAGCAATATCCAAAATACTAAAAAAAAAAAAGGTATCAACCAGTCAACCGGTGCATGAGACAGTGCAATTTCTTTTGCCTCCAGTCTTACAGACTAGACTCATTACCAGTTAACTGGGTCAGCAGCACCATATTCTTCCATCTCTCTTCAGCGAGGCTGTTTCACACACTTACAATGCAACTGTAGTCTTTTGTCATATTCTGCATTCCATCTTGGGGTCTCCCTCCGACCTCCTAAGTGATTATTTAAAATTTGTATACATGTATTCACTATTACAGTTAATCATACAGAATAGTTTCACTGCCCTAAAAAGTATCCACCTAGTCAACCCTCATCCTGACACATAATGTTTGTAAATATTTATAGGCTACATGTGGTATTTTGACACATGTATAGAATGTGTAATAATTAAATTAGGATATTCAGGATATCCATCACCTCAAATATTCATTATTTCTTTATGTTGGGGACATTTCAACTCTTCTCTTCTAGCTATTTTAAAATAACACATACACAATAAATTATTGACTATAGTCACCCAGTTGTGCTATCAAACACTAGAGCTTATCCGGCTATTTAACTATAGGTCTGTACCTACTGCCATCTACTTTTCATCCCCTCCTCCCTTTCCACCTCTGGTGACCATTCATCTACTCTCTACCTCCATGAGATCAACTTTTTAAATTCCCACATGGAAGTGAGAACATGCAGTATTTGTCTTTCTCTGCCTGGC